CAGGAGAGATGTGGGGAGGACCAGGTGGTCCACCAGACCACTTCCAGGATCGCATGGGCATGGGCCCTGGCCCTGGCCCTGGCCCAAGGGGTATGCCCACACATATGCAGAGGATGCCTGGCTTCTCTGGTATGATGAATGCTGAAATGGAGGGACCCCCAAGGCCTGGAATGGGCTGGCCTGACGACATGCCTCCTCGCATGGGAGATGCACGAGGCTTCCCTGGAGGACCTGGGGGAATGTTTGCTGGACCAGGGGGTCGTGGTGAGCGTTTCCCAAATCCTCAGTCAGTCCAAGAAGCAATGTTCCACCAAGGTATGGGTGGAGAAAAGGTCCTCCCTCCTGGGATGATGATGGACATGCAAAGGATGATGGGGCACCAAAGAGGTGGAATGGAACCTGGTAATGGCATGGGTATATTTCCCAGAATGCCCGGTGATGGTCCTATGAGTCCATCCTCTAGGCTTCAAGGAATGGGGGGCAGGGAAATGGGGCCTGAGTTTGGCATGGGGCCTGGCCCTGGGCCAGGACCTCATATGCACCCTTCCAAACTACGAGATCCCGGCATGAATATGAGTCCTGATGAGATGATGAGAATGAGAGGTGGTGGAGGGCCTCCAATGGAGAATATGGGTCCTCAAGGCAGGCCTATGCAGGGTCCTCCCTTCCCTGAGCAGACACAGCCAGGAGACTTTCCTATGGGGCGGCCCTTTCCAGGTGGTCCTGGAGGAATGAGGGGTCCACATGGAGACCAAGCCTTTGGACCAGAGCACAGAGCTACACCAACAGGAGGTAATGGCCGTATTAACCACCTCCCCTCTGCTGGTGGCCCTTCACAAGGTCAGAGGGGCCGCAAGCCAGCAGATCTGAATGTCCAAGCAGGAGGAGGGAACTCTCCCAGTGTCAACCCACTTAAGTCCCCTCCTCTAAGGCAAGTGCAGTCCCCCATGATGGGCTCTCCCTCTGGAAACCTTAAATCCCCTCAGACACCGTCCCAGCTAGCTGGCATGCTCACTGGTCCCACGGGCCCCAATGCTCCACCAGCTCCTCCATCTTCAGCACCAATGAAGTCGCCCCACTCCATGATGGGATCAGCTGGTGCCTCTCCTGTTCATATGAGGTCTCCTTCTCTTCCTAACCCCTCCCCAGGATGGGCTTCCTCACCAAAACCACCCATGCAGAGTCCCGGTGTACCACCTCAGGGTGGCAAGCCTCCCCTCAGTATCACCTCACCGAACATGATGGGGGGCATGGAGCAAGGTATAACAATCTTACCTCCTTTCTCTTTGTTCATCAGCGCCTGAGCAGCTTCTTTCAATATTTAATTCCCCATCTTGATTCAGTGCACCTTCATTAAATCCCATTCCAGGTGTTGAATGTTATTTGTATTGATTTTTGTAGTCATAATCAGTTATTGTTAATATCACATGTACAATACCTGACTTAGGCTGTCTGACTTGTGCCCTTCTTATCAGAATCAGCTTACAAAACCAAAAACTGAAAATAAAATAGATGGAAGTTAGTGGAAGCTATCAAGTGCATCACTCATTCAAGTTAACACATCTGTATGAGGGGTGGGGTTGGGTGGGTTATGGTCCAGTGGCTCCCTCTTGTGGCTACATAATTTAAGTCTTACTTACACACACTATTGCTATGAATCATCACAGATAAAACAAAGCAGTTGAGACTTCATTCTGTGGCAGATTGTTTTTATCATGTCATCTCTGTCTCATCATGTCAACCTCTAGGTGGAAACGGTCCTCCCTCAGCCCCTCCTTCATCAGGGGCTCCATCTGGCTCTATGTCCCTCCCAGGTAACGTCCAGTCTGGCAGTCCGTACACCATACCCCCTGAGCCAACTTTATCACAGAACCCTCTCTCCATCATGATGTCACGCATGTCCAAGTTTGCAATGCCCAGCTCCACCCCACTCTACCATGATGCCATAAAGACTGTTGCCAGCTCCGATGACGACTCGCCCCCAGCCCGCTCCCCTAACCTGCCATCAGTGAACAATAATGGTAAGACATCTGAAAAGTAATTTTCTTTTTTCTTTTTGTTGTTTAATTTGTCGTCCACCTGTGGCCATATTGATACTAATGTCCCTTTCATCTGCTTTACAAGAGCTTTTACTTAATATATAATCACTTCTTTTGTCTTGCACATACAGGTATGGCAATGAATCACCAAGGCAATCCACGTATGATGGGACCTGGAAATGCTGGACCCATGTCTGCCCTCAGCCCTCTGGGTATGAATCCAATGGGATCCCAGCCCCTCTCCCATGGTATGCCCCCACAGATGCCCTCCCCCAATGCCCCTAATATGGGCCCAGGCATGATGCCTCATGGCATGATGATACCACCAAATCCCCAAGACCCTGGTATGGGAAACCCACAGATGATGCCCCAAGGACGCATGGGTTACCCTCACCGAAGCCAGGCGTACCCCCTCACCCAGTCCCCTTCCCAACAAGGCCCTTTCTCACCGCACAACGGTCCTGGTCCCCAAGGTTTCCCTGGCCATGCCATGGGCTTCCAGGGAGAGGGAGGGCCTATGGGAGGACGCATGGGGAACATGCCTCACGGGGGAGGGGGTGATGGGGGTATGTGTAAGCCTAATACCCCTGGAGGGCCAGAGTTCAACAACATGCAAGGTGGATTCAGTGATGCAGACCTTCATGAGGTGATGCGGCCGGGAGCATCCGGCATTCCTGAGTTTGACCTGTCCAGGATAATCCCGTCAGAAAAGCCCAGCCAGACTCTGTCTTACTTTCCCCGAGGTGGAGGAGACAACCCTGGGGTAAAACCACCACACCCCACTGGCTTCCCCATGCAGGGCATGATGGGCGATGGTCCACCGAGGATGGGGATGTCCATGCAGGGGATGGGGGGGATTGCCAGGGGGCCTGGTGGGGGAATGGGCCCCCAAGACATGCCAATGGGCAACCCTGGCCACAACTCGATGCGGCCACCAGGATTCATGGGCCAAGGCATGATGGGCCCCCAGCACCGGATGATGTCCCCTGGGGGTCCAGGAGGGATGATGCAGGGGAGACAAATGGCCCACCCAGGCCCTGGCGGCTCACCTAACATGATGATGTCACTGCAGGGCATGGGCGGCCCCCCACAGCAGACAATGATGATGGGGGGTCAGATGAGGCCACGTGACATGGACATGGGGTTCAGTCCGGGCCCTGGAATGTTCTAATCCAACAGAAACCTTGTATCTAGAATGTTCTTAGACAGTACGCAAGGATGGAGTCACGGCGTGTGGAGGGTGTTCAGAAAACTCTGATGGACTCAAGTAAAGGAAGTATAATACAAGAGAGGATGTACTCAGAAATGAACAGAATGGAGCTAACCAGTCACCTAGTAATGTCCTGTGGGAACTATTCCAATGGAGACTTGGACAGGCCCAGATTGGAGTACTTTTGCCACAAGAACATTTAATTTTGACTCATGAACTTCAGAATGTATGGGATTGTTGTGCATCAATTTCGCAAAAACTGTTCTTGTGTTTTTTGATTATCTGACTATAAAGATGACTTCAACATCAAAGAGGAATCAACCTAACAAGTCAGCGTGGAGATGCTACAGTATATGTCTACTTTTTTCAAATTTAAAAAACAAATTTGTCATGAAAGTGGTATGGAACAAGAGAAAGGAATAAGAAGAATCTGTGCTTTGTGAAGACTTTAGTGGAACTCCATCTTGTCTCTCGCTCCATTGTTTTGACTGTTTCTGTACAGTATATACGTGTGAGAGTGCGTGTGCGTGCTTGACAGACTGTATGTTTGTGTGGTATGTATGTATGTGTCTGTATGTATAGGCATTCTATCAGTGACCTCTCAACTCCTCTTACCCAACTTTCATTGGGGGGAGGAATGCCCCCTAAAAATACTGTACTGTTTACCATTGGTGGGCTATTCGAATTTTAGTCTATTTTAATTTCCTTTGTAACTCCAGTGTATAACAAACCAAACTATGACCTCATTAAGATAATAGTATTATTAAAAAAGCACAAACATGGACCGTCTGCAGAAAGCGTCTTCTTTCTCTATTTTTACCATTGAGAGCAACACATTAAGTGTGAGGATCCTGGCAGCTTTGCAGCACAATGATAATCCCCAGTCAATTTCAAGTTGTGGATGACATTTGACTCGGTGCTCCAAAACTTTCAGGACTCAACTTTCGCCAGCGTGAATAATATTGCTAATACCCAGATGTGCTATGTGTGTTCTTCTTGTTCCTGTTGTGTTCCTGTTTTGTTTTGACTCTCTTGTTGACTCTGGGTAATAATCATTCCCACAGCAATAATCCCCAAATGGTCAGCAGAATTGGACAGGAGTGGCTGAATGCCACAGCAGGTATGCCAGGTGTTATAGAACTAGAGCTAGGTAGATCTGGTTTAAAAAAAAAAAAAAAAAAAAATTAGTAAGGCAGGTGTGGTGTCCGGAGTGAGACGCACAGAAATGTAAACACGTACTGCTTACCATCCAGTTGACTTCCTCTCTTTTCTCTATTGTATAAGCTTGTCATGTGTTTCTCCATTGGCTTTGGTGCAGAATAGCCTACCAGGGCTGTGGTGATGGACTACAAATAAAAGATATTGTTTTGGTATATACATGTTGTCTATGGAGTGTGTGTGTGCACACGTGTATTTGTCAACGTGGCTCTCGACTATTCACATCTAGTCAATTATGTGGACCAGGTGGTGTCTTTGTCATTCTACACGTCAAACCTGCTTACCAACATTTAGCTACAACAACGAGAGCAAGTCATACTAAGTAGCATTGCAGAGTTGACCTTTTATCAGGTGGTACTTACTGAAGAGCTATTTTCAGAGGACATCACACTTCCAAAATAGACGCAAGCTTGTTGATGCATTTGAACTCGACTAAACTAATTGTGCTTGTCTAACCTGTGTTTTTAAGTTCTACTTGGCTGGGAGGAACAGTACAGAGGCCCTTATGTGAAGAGACACAGAAAGAGACTTGACACTGATCAAAATCTTTATTTATGCCTCACCTCTACAAACCAAACCATTTACATTTTAAGCAGCAGGTCAAGGGAAACTTCCCCCTGATGAAATACGATGCGTGTTATTGTAACACATTAACTCAGGTGCAGGTCTGATGCCATTAACAAATCTCCACAAGTAGGCAACCTATTGTTTCATTCTTCAAACATACTGCAGCAGAATGATTCCCCTTCTGCAGCTTCTACGTGATTATGAAGACATTCACCAACACTTAGACACGCACACTAATATACAATCCACTTCTGCACCCCTTTGTTAGTAAACATCAGATACAGTACATAAAATGAAGTATCCCCCTGAGGAATGAAATTATTGAATATGATCTTTCGATTGAACACAACCAAATGGGCAGAATTATTGCATCAGCAAATACAGGCACTGACGATGCCACATATTTTTTTTCAACACCACCAAAAAAAGCAAAACCAGCAAAAAATTACCTTAAATATTACCGATGTAGGTAAAGCCTGATATAGTTTATTCATCTGTGCCATATACCTCCAGTGTTGTCTAAGAACTATTTAAAAACACATACAGGATCTACACCACTTCACTGGTTGGCATGTTCCTTTATAAGCAATGAACTTGGGCATGGTAGTTTATTGTGAGTCCATTACACATACCATAGACTGTCCTGGTGCTGTAAATTCACTCACTAGAAAACCAAATTTGTATCAATCCACAGCTGAAAAAAGTAGTTGCTGACAGTAAGAAAAACATGGAATATCGCCAGCCTTCATTATGAAACAGACAGATGAAGTGCATGCAAACGGACATCTGTGCACTAAGCATCTGATATCGGGGAAACACTGTATAGGAAGATAGTTTAGTGTGATGTAAACTAAAAGATCTAATCCAAGATCCAAAAAAGTTTCCCCTGGTGTATTCCGACAGTGAGGTATAATGTCTGAGGGTGGTTGGATGGAGTGAACTGAGTACGTCAAAAAATAAAATTAAAACATGATGTGTGGTAACTGTCAGAGTCTAATGTAATGGGTAGCACTGTGTTGAGAGGTGAAGGTTTGTTGAGGGTTCAGGGCTTGGTTAAGCCCTCGACATTGTTGCAAAGAGACTGGTGGAGTTCGGAGCTCAGTGAGTATGCTGAGAGGGCCTGTTTGAACTCCTCCAGGGGGCAGTAGACTCCACTACAGCCTTGTATAAGTTGATCCTGAAAAAAAAAAAAAGCAAGCAATGTATAATAAAACACAAAGGGAAAAAGAAATGCGACAGCTTATTGAATAAACAGACACATTCTCACCCCCTACCTGGCCTATGTATGACACTTTCACGAAGGCCTTGTTGGTCTGCCTGTGTTTGTGCAGCTCCAAAGTGATATCGGCGGCATACGGTGGCCATCTCATGTCAAAAACTCCCAGCGCCATCAGACAGGGGATCAAAGTGGTGTCATGTGCAGAGTACAAAAACAACTTCCTGTATGAGAGAGGATTTCAACAGTGGTTCGTTTAAAGACCACACACAATCAAGTGTGTGCAAGAAATGAGTGTTTCCATCCCCGACGTGTCCCACCTGTCTGGCTCTGATGAGGTACCCTGTAGTTTCTGTTCAATGTTGGCTAACATTGTGTACAGGAGGGGTCCCACACAAAGCTGCAAATTCTCACTGCCAAAAACACAGCAAAACAAAAAAAAATTAAAGATGGCCTGTGGAAAACAAAACAAGTAAAGCCCCCCCACCCTCCTATGCTGACTTGTTTAATCTAACCTCTTGCTGGGTTCGTACACGTGGCAGATCATGTCCACAGCTCTCTGTTCCACTGTATTCCTCCATGTGTCCAGCACTGGTGGGCAGGGCAGGCCGTGTGTCTGTGAATGTGCAGAGACTTGACACGGTCAGTATCAGCTATGCTGCTAAGCAACATAAAGCCTCCAAAGGAAACGTCTTGCATGGCTGAAGGTTTTGTTCACCGTTTTCCAAAGCTATCATTTTATTTTGAGATATTTACCATTTTCCCCTTTATCATAGTTATTTTCTAAAGTGGTGTCTATTTTAAGCCATGACAGCAAAATCTACTGGTAGCTCTATTTTTTTTTTTTTTGTTTCAGTGGATTATCACTGTACTGACTCAAAAATGTGTGGCTGTAATTTGTTAGTTTGAATCCGTTGTAACTGGTAACAGGTAGATCCAAACATGATCAGCGAGAATGTCAGGTAGCTTCAGCTTTGGTTGGTGAGCGGAGAAGATAATTCACCAAAGCCTAATAAAGATGTCCCTTCCGCCTTGTTTCAGATCTCATACTGGCCCCAGTGTGCACATTCAAAAGATGGTTATTTCAACAAAAAATTATATTTCAGTCTCTTGTCTAGAAATGAATTTCTTTCACTGACTGCATTAGAAATCTTTAGATTTGCCATCTGTGCAATTATGAATTAAGTGGGAACATATTTTTAAATATCTTCGGCAATACGTAAATACTATTAATGTAACTCAAATCATGCTTAATCTCTTATTTTAGCTTGTTAATAACTGGATGAACTCTGCTTTAGAGTTTCATCTTACATAACTAGCAGCTTACTAGGTTTACGCCTCTGGCCAGGCTAAGTCTTGATAATAATGGTATGTATTCTGATAGCTTGTGGGGAGACCTAATAAAAGTCATATGAATCATGATGTAGCAGTGTCACCTCTCTGGCAACCATGTCGTCCCTAATGAGGATGAAGTCGACGTGCTGGTGAGAAGCAATGCCCAACGCACTCTGGATGCTCTGCAGGTCTGCTGCAATGTCTGGCAGAGTGGACGACTCTGCCCAGCGGTGGCTGCACAGAACACACAGTGTCAGCCACAAAACACAGACACACCATGACAACCTGTCAGAGGCATCTCAACTCGGCTTATAATTTTGCACAACACGTTATTCGAGAATCCAGTTTTGGGTGGCGAGTTTATTGGATATTTGAGTGCTTGGTGCGACCTGGTATGAAAATGTACTCCACGTACCTGCCAAAGATTTTGAGCATCTTGCATCCGTTGTAGTTAGGATACAGGATTTCAGATTCTGCATCCGTTGTTAATATAGGCACAATTTCTTCAAGTGGAACAGAAAATTACAAAAAGCAGTTTAGATGAGATCCAGAATAGAATAAGTAACATTGTGCACATGTGAATTTCTACCCTACCTTTTTGTTTTTGTTGGAAGAGTCCTGCTACCAGACACTTGGCAGATTCAATGGTCCTCACAATGTTAGTGGAGCGCACACTAAAAATGGAAAAAATAGGTCATGGAGGGCGGCCAACTTCAAAATAGCAAAGCATTTAGGCTGAAATCCTTTGTACTGCACTCATAACACAATGTATCAAAACTGAACAGTACATTCGAGTGTTCATGCTCTCACTACCTGTCATGATTTGCAACACTTACTAGACTTCAGCTGGGTTAAAGGTGGAGCTGAGGAAATGACTCTCCTCAATGTATTTCCTCCTCAGCCTCTTGCCCAGCTCATACACCTGCTGCATGCCCACTGCGGTCAGCTGACCGGGGAATGTGCCACCCTGCAACAAACAAGGTCAAGTTTTACACACAGATGTGGCCTAACAGACACACACCTGCGATGGCATGCAGGAATCCAGAGGGAATGTGGTACAAGGATGGCAGGAGTCCATATTGTGGGATTTAGTTTTTCTAAGCTAAATCCAGCGCAGTAAACCTCTTTAGCAAAGCAGCTGACTCAGCACAAGAAACTATCATTTCCATTGACACTGGCAAACAGGGCATACTATCTCACTGAGGTGGGAAGCTCTACACACAGTTCAGGAGTATTACAGAGAGTGAATGAACCTGCTTTAACGTCATCTGTACGGCTTTGTAATGAATCCTAGTTGCCACTAGAGGGAGAAAGGCTAACACAACACAGGTTATTTTATAACATATAAAACAACAGTCCTTTACCACAGAAGATATTAATTAGTCATAGCATAAAAACACACAGATTTAACTAACACTACTGGTGACTCTTGTCCCAGTAAATGTGCCAGATTGCACAATTTCAGGGCTGTGGCACAGGCACACCTACATGGAATGGCATTGTGTTACTTATTACACCTGTGCCTTTATAACAAACGTTATCACATAAATGTCTGCAGTGAAAACCTGTATTTAACCATCTCCTTCCTGAGAGCAGCGGCTGAATTCGGTCATTCAGCTCTTTTCGTGTCTGACTGCATTCACACTACAAAACACACCTACTCACGGTCAGTATGTTTTTCCGATAGCTGTCTTCTACAGGAGCTGGGGGCTTGGGGCCACCTTGAAGATCCGTCACTACATAGTTGATGTGCGTGTGTGCAGGAGGCTCCAAGAGTGTTGGAACCCATTGGGCCTTTAACGAGACATTAAAGAATGATGTTGTTATATACAGATATTACGTGAGATTACATCTTTTAGAGAGAGAAAAAGGTTTACCTCCATCACATCAGGTATTGACTTAAGTGGGGTTCGAGCACCGTGCCGGAACAGGACTTGGACCAATTTTAGTTCGTAGGGGGAACTGGGATTTGTGTCTGTAGAGGTGTAATGGGAAGCAGTCTGGTCCGGTTCTGTCTTCTTCTGTGACCACAGCATTGAACCAAAAGCCATGGACACCGAACCTAAAACACCTGCTTTGGTCCAAAAAGTCCTCATGGCTGTGCTGTGAACGAAACAGACCATTTGGTTTAGTGTATGTGAATTATCAACACATGCATTAAGGTTAAAAGTAAGAGGAAGAACAAAAAGACATGAAAGTAATGTTAACACAGCAGTCTTGCAACACAAGCTCAAGCTTCCTCTGTACTCCGTAAAACAGCAACTAATGATTACTATTCACTATTTCACTATCAAATAATCTGAAATTAAATTATTAATTGTTTGACCTATTCATGCTGCTTATTTGGCCTTACCAGCAGTCCAGATCTCAGAGATATAAGACTACAAGAACCAGTAACATATTCACTTTGGAGAAAGATTTTTAGCATTTCTGCTTAACAAAATAACACACAGTACATGTATTGATTAATCTGTAAAATAGGTTAATCTCTCAACTAGTGGGAGAAAATGCTCATCAAATTGTACCCAAGGGGGCGTCTTCAGGTTTCTTGTTGTGTCCACAAACAGTCCAAAAGATGAAGAAACCTCCTCTTCACACTTACGAAGCTGTAACATTTATTTTGGCATTTTGACTTAAACGATAACGTCTGACAATTATATCTATTGTTTTGTTGATCGACTACCATGTTGTTTTAGCTCTACTTTACCATATATTGTGTACTAACCTGCGTTAACTGATACAATTAAACTTCCTGGTAAGTCCACGATGATGATGATGATGATGATGATGCAGTAGCAGCAACTTGACGTTAGCTAACTACGTTAACTGTACTAGCTGAAGTAAGGCAGAGTTAAGGTCGATAAACAAATAAATATTTTAACACATTTACGTTAGATATAACCTGCTGTAGCACTGGCTGGTGTAACGAGCTCTTCAGGGGGCGTAACGGCGTTTCTACTCATACCTTTCCTCGTCCATTAAATATTTAAGGTTCATATAACGCTAACGTAACAGTTGTGCAATAAAAACCCAAATACTGTAAGATTAGGACTGTTCGCGGAGTTAGCGAACAAACATTGCTTAACTCGTTTCAACACTCGTCGAAGAAGCACGTTAGGAAAACATCACTTGGCACAATGCTAACGTTAACTCTTTCAAAACTAGCTAACGTTAGTTGCAACACAACACGATAGCATGAAGTTTAACCGCCGTCTCAACGGTCGGCCTAGCTAACTGTGCCATGGCAACGAAGCTCACTCTTCTCACGGGTACAACTAACGTTACTTACTTACTGAAATGTAGTTCTTGTGCTGTCCTGGGTAGAAAACACAGCGTTCAGTCAATGATAAATTCACTTGTCATTCGGCGACTATAGCCACCGGTTGAACCAAATGAGATGTCGGGAACTGTAGGGTAGCAGACGCCACTCTACAATAAAAGTAAAGGTGATAGTTAGGAGGATAAAACTACATTTCCCAACCTCCGGTCTGGCGTGACGTTTTTCTTCTTCTTCTGTTAAAAGATGGTGGAGGAGATGCGTCAGAATGTGCTGCTGCCCTCTGCAGGACGTAAGGTGTATCTGCACATCACAGTGCTCTAGTATTTTAAAGTTTGCTATCACAAACAGGACCAAGCGCGGAGCTCCAGACCCAAATGTTTGCTCAGACGAATCTTTTAGGGTCTGAGGAGTGAGAAAGAGAGAAGAAAATGAAGAGGGATAGAGAAGGTGAGGAAAAGAATAAAGGAAAGAATAAATAAGATTTGAAATGTGAAAACTTAATGATAACAGGTGAAGGGGAAGAGGGACAAGAGAAGGGTACAGAAAGAGGGATAAAGGAGGTTAACAGGGATAACATATATTTGTATTTTTTTAAACTTTATGATCAGAAATCTTCATAGTTTGTTTGTTTTATATTTTTTTCACTCAGTGGAAATTTCCAGGGTTAAATGAGTGGAGCTGAGAGAATGAGAGAAGTTTAAAAGAAAAGAGGAGGAAAAAATAGCGACCAGGGTTAGATCATATAAGGTATATATAACAATATGTTTATCCTACTTTGCTCTAAAGAAATTAATTATAAGATAAAGTAATATAATCTGAGTAAATGTTCTTCTGTTGGCCTGATATTGAATTCACATTATTGACTTTGCAATGTAGGGAATCCTTAATTTGCAGGTTATATATAGGTTTCATGATTAGTAATACTGTTTACACTGAATTCCTACACCTATGTTATGTAACTTAGAAATAATAACAAAAATAACATAACATTTTTGTCCTCTTTAGGTAGCAGGACTTACAATTAGTCATCCTCAACATTTGTAAAGAAATTTGTACAAAAAACCCAGCTTCAATGGTTATGTCTCTTACACTTTGTCATTTTGAATTTCATCCTACATCCTACTATTTATATTATTTATAAATATATATAATACTTTTTATTTATACCCATTTTACAGGAATGACATTCAAATAATATACAGTGAAAGAACTTATACTTTTTATTATACTCAAGGTAAGTTTTGATTACCTTTTCAATTCAGTTCCCTTTTAATTGATTGTCATTATACCAGTTCAGTATTGACAAAATCTGAATAATACTCACCTTGTATCCTGAAAATAAATCTCATACAGGTTTACGCCATACTGTCCAAAAAAGAAAAAGCCTGACGACTGAAATCTGAGATGCATATATGAATGTCTTGAATGGTACATTTTTTAAGAAATAAGAAGCCAACAACAAATACCCACACAAGTGCATAAGAACATCCCCTCAGCCTTGCCTTTGAGTGATTTACAGAGAGATGATTTTATTGAATAGCAACGTGCAGCTTTCAACCCAGTCTCAGATTGTGACAGACCAAGCTGGATATTACCGCTCAGCTTCCTGGCAGAGATGACTAGACAGTCTTTGTTTGTGTAAATACTGTACATCTTCCCCAGTCTGTCTCCTTCAGGCCCCTTCTGCTGACTGAAAAATGCAAACGGTGATAAGATACTGATCTACAAATGCAGGGAACTCTTCATCAATGTATTTCCTTCACCAGTACATAGCTGGTAGTTCTTTATTTCCGCTTGTATTTTAACTTACAGCATTTCTGTATTGACCACCATGATTTCTGATGTGGTACAAGTTGATGTATTCTCTCTGATTTTCTGAGCTCAGTGTAAGATATTCAGTGTGTACATCTACATTTATATCATTTAGTAACGTATATGCGTCTGTATATGTTGATGTTGCATGAAGATCTAAGAATGCTTACATAAATCACTGACTTGAGGACAACAGAGCAGATTGTACAGCTGATGATTTATTAGTTTGTGATGGGTTAGTGATGATCTTTATTGCATAAAGGTTTGTGTGAAAGAACCAAAAACTGCAGTGAATGTACAGCAAGCTGAATGTTTGCTGTGGGAAATATGTAGGAATAATCTTCAAGTTGCAGTCAGTGTTCATTTAGAAACTGCTGTCGTACACAGCCTGTACAAATATCCTGCAAACTTTAAGAGCAAGACACTAGAAAATGAAATAAAATACATTCAAAGACATCAACGGAAACATATATTGCATAGGGACAAATTCACTATTTACACAACGGCTCCAGGAGAGCAGCTGAAGGACTTAAGTGCAATGTTGCCACCCAGTGGTCGGATCTTCTCTTAACAGCGTCCGAGCAGGACCTCTTCTTTTTCTTCTTTCTTGGATCCCTCTCGAAAGGAAACTCCTAAAACAGGCTACATTCTCTTATCACTTGTGCACACCAAGGCTCCAGTCAAATGTATAACTGATGAATGAGTTTTACTCACACTATTTTTAACTTTAAAGTGATCTGTTTGTTGGCCTGTGGATGAAGTGCAATCAGGTTAGCAAGTCAACATATGGCTTAATTTAAATGTACAGTCTTTGTCATGGATTTGCAAAAATATATATAGAAAACATGTTTTATGGAAATAGATATATTTTTACACTTTTTAAGGCACTTAACCTTGTTAATTGAAAATATGCTGCATAAAAATACCCAATTTATATACTGCTTGTATAAGCTTCACAGTTTATTGCATATTAAAGTCCTTGTTTTCTCTTAATGTATCTTTTATTTTTTGCTGCAAGAGAAAGAAACTGTTGGTTGTGGCTATTAAAGTTACCTAATCTTAATTGTATAGTTGAGATGTGTGTCATATTATGGATTATAATGAAAGGATTCTCACACCAATACAGTTACCCTGTTCTCGATTCAAAATTATTTTTCTTTTGCAGTTTGGTTGTCAGTTTTTTAAGCTCTGGGACAGATTGGTTCACAAACACTATCTGCTCACAGAGTTCACACATGTCAAGTTTACACAGTCCACTCACGGATCTCAGTGTCACTCTCTAAAGTCTCGTCCATCCTCTATAGTCAAGTGTCAGGCTTCAGTGTCAGAGTTTGCATAAGTAGCCTGTGCTCACGTCGTGACCCCTTCACTCAGACTCCTCTTGTCTGTGTCTTCCTAAACTGATCTTTCTGTCCCTTCTCTTTGGCTCTGAAGGTCAAACCCGTCCTCTCCTCCTGATCAACCACTTGTGAATCTATACTGCCAGGTCATCTTGGCGAGCCCGGCTGCTGCCCCCACTGGTCTTGCTCAGGCGGCGTTTGTCCTTCATGTAGCCGGAGTGCATCAGAGGCGATGGGGAGCAGCTGTTGGTCAGCTCTGTTGGGGCTTGGTCATATCTCATCCTCAGGAAGTCTTCCCCATCCTCCATGTTGTCGCAGCTATGATGCCGCTCGGTGGCCAAGTTGACTGAGTTCTGCTGCAGCGCCATCCTGTTGTTGAAGGGGTGAGAGGCCATAGAGGTCATGGCGTTCAAGGAGCTCGGGGCTGCCAGGCACTGGCTGAAGTCAGGGGGTGGGGTGCAGGAGGCCGAGGGCCGGGGTGGGCTGTTGGGCTCCAAGGCTGTGGACACGGCCACTGTCACAGCTCTCTGGTTGCTCCTCTGTAACGCCCTCTCGCGTACACACCTCCTTGCACTCTTCCATCCAAGGTGGTAGAGCTCCAACACGGAGAGCAGCAGAGACACACCGGCCACCACCAGCATGAAGACAATGAAGACGTTCTTCTCTGTGGGTCGGGACATGTAGCAATTGACGGGGTTGGGGCAGGGCCAGGCCTTGCACAGGTACAAAGCCTTGAGGAACACCCCATAGATCAGGTACTGCACCACAACAAATGTCACCTCCATCACTGTACGGATCATGATGCTCAGCATGTAAGTCTGCAGCAGTGCTCCTCTGAGGCGAACATGTCCAGTCCCATCAGATGTCATAATTTTTCCGCCCTCCTTCTGCTGGAGGTACTCCTTCTCCCCCTCCAGGTCTCCTCCGCCTTCCCCTCTCGCCTCCTTCTCCTCCTGCTCCCTCCTCCGCTGCTTCTCCTCCCTGCGCACCGTGTGCATGGCGTGGCCCATGTAGATGAGGGATGGTGTGGAGACAAAAACAATCTGCAGCACCCAGTAGCGGATGTGGGCAATGGGGAAGGCACTGTCATAACACACATTGGTGCAACCGGGCTGCTGAGTGTCACACAGGAAATCGCTCTGCTCATCGCCCCAGGAGGACTCAGCTGCCGTGCCCAGCACCAGGATGCGGAAGATGAAGAGGACGGTGAGCCAGACTTTTCCGACTGAGGTGGAGTGTTCCTGGACCTCCTCTAGGAAATTCCCCAGGAGACTCCAGTCCCCCATCACTGCTCACAGGCCGAACACACACCTGAGACACAAAGACTGGAGAAGGAGGAGAGAAAGGGCGGAAAGAGGGTGCACTAGAGGTGAAAAGGTGTCACTGAGGTGGAGAAGTGAAGGAAGGACAGAGCAGAGAGGAAGGTACAAAAGGAGAAAAGAGAAATACAGATAATCAGTTACAGTCAGCTGTAGGTCCTCTATACGCTGCTGATGAAATGACCTGGGCGTGTGTGTGGCATTATAGGCATAAAAATAGCCTGTGAATTGCTTGAGGACTGGACACTGGCATGAGAACAACCATTTTCCCATGAAAGAAAGAGAGAGACGAACAGATAGAGGAAGGAAGAGGAAGTTTGGGAGTCATGTAAAAGTAAATAATGAGGTTGTTTTAAGAAAAATAATTAAATATTATTTTGTGTGTGTTTACATTCCCCCTGTGCAATCCAAAATTATGTATGACATTGAAACCACAGGGCACCACAGGGCAAATTAAAGCTAGGAGACTTTGTCCTTTTAATGCTGTGACCCAGCCTGAGCCACACAGTCCCCATCTTGCCTGTGGACCATGACCAGCAGATTCACTCACAACAGACAGAACGGCAGCTTTGATGTCCTCTGAGCAAAAATGAATTCCTCCTACACGCTGCAATCTGGATCTATCTGAGAGCGTCAATCAGATCTCTCCAACTATTCGCTGTGCATGTATGCTTTCACCCCTTGACTCCAGCATTAGTAAGAGTTTGGGTAAGACCCAAACATGGCAGTGACAGGCTGGCAAGTCTCACTGGAGAATGACCCTATAAGGCAGTTCACCGGACAGCTTTAAGGGGACAATAAATGACCCCGTCTTTGAGGGGTTAGGAAAACCCATCAAACTCCATCAAGGGGTGACCTCTGACATCTATATGCACTATGTATGTATGCCTACTGCCAGCTTTTACTGTGCAATTAGAGATCAAAGACAGATGAGCTATAACATATAAAATGAGGGCTGAAAGTAACAGTTTGACAGGTTTTTCCGACACGTCACATATCTGAAGTTACTGCCCTACTTGGCAAGGTTATAGAAAACGTACACATTCTTCAAAAGCTTTGTGTTAAGACTAACTGTTATTCTAATGGTGTGCCAGGTAGAATATACAGTATAATCACCATAACCACAGAGGGTGAAAAAAGCCAAACAGGGAGTTAATATCCTCTCTTACCCCTCCTCTCCACGAGCAGTTGCTTCCATAATAAGTTTCTCCCATTGTGTAGTCCACTGTGCAGGGCTTTGAACTGCCTGGCTGACACTGACACTGGTTATGTGTGTGAGAGAGATGGTCTAAATGACCATGACCATCTGTCCCTCTGTCTGTCTCTCCCCCTCCCTCTGTGTCTCTATGAGGTATATATATGGCAATAAGATGGAAAATCAGAGCGTGCTCTTTATCTCTAAAGCAGAGAGAGGCGGGAAACAAAACACCCCCAATAGAACATGTGGGAGAGGAAATGTTCAAACTATTCACGCACAAGGCTGATTCGCAAATGCATACCATAGGAAAGCTTGGGGTCTGACACACTGTTTTCCAGCATGCAACTAATACCCGCTAACGTCAGACAGACTGGTCACAGTTGGAGACCAGTGGGATCATCAGTTAGTTAGGTCCTCGTCCCACTCAGGGAACTGGCTCAAAGCCTTCCTTGGATTAAGTTGATGATCTTTACTGGAAGTAAATCACAAACAGGCAGAGAGTTGGAGGAGGAAGGGAGTGAGAGTCCAGCCAGCACAATAACAGGAGGTGCACAGAACAACGACCGTGTTCTTATCAGCTAATACTGACAACAGGCTTTCCTCACCTGTGCAGACCCTGCTAACAATAAATCTAGACTTCAAAGCTATCCTTTGTGATAGTTTTTAATCGCACCATGACAGGCCTCTACATGTATTGCATCAAGTACAAAATACAATCTTTAAAATCTAAGTGGTCTAGTTATAGGAGACAACAAAAATGCTGTTGTTAAACAATGTCTTCCTATTCCATCTATTCCTTGAGTCGTAAAACGTGAACATGTTAAAAGAAGTGAGGGTTTACTGTCACTGGTGTGGTAGGCCTACAATGATATTCAGATACTTTAGTAGCAATACTCCTTTGTAAAAATATTCCGCTACACGTAAAAGTCCCTATAATGAAAAATGTAGTCAACAAACACCATATAAGTATCAAAATGAAAACTACTAATTTTAAATGAAAAAGAAAAAAAAAGAATGGTCCCTTGAAGGTGGCCAAATGTCATTATATTATCGGATTACAGTATTATCACTTATCACTGATGCCTTAACATGTACGCAGCATTTTAATGTTGTAGCTGGTCAACTTCATATAGTGTTAGTTAGCTTAATCTAAACAGGACTAGTCTCCAGCCATCCTCCATCCAGCATCTCTGTGACGATGTAGATTTAGCTCAAAGCCCCTGCTAGCATGCTAACATGCTAAATAGGTATAATGTTTACTCTGCTCACCATCTTAGTTTAGTGTGTGAGCAGGATAGTATTTGCTAATTATTACTAAACAGTACAGTTGAGGCTGATATTTGGTCACAAACTGAAGTATAATAGAACAATAAACATTTTGGCTGGATGTCAACTTAAGGGATCACCAAAGTAATAACAATTTATCCTGAGGGAAATATGAATGTCTGTACCTAATTTCATGGCACATCCATCCAACAGTTCTCTCAAAGGCACCCACAGTACACACACTACTATTCATACACTGTCATGGGAATGGGAGCTTTCTTTTCCTGAGAAAAGTAAAAGTGGAATTCAGATCAGCTGGGGAGAGGAGTATAGTCTCTTTGTCCTTCCCTCAACTACCTCTTCCTGTTCTCAGAGGAAGCAATCCCAAACAATATGATTTCCGAAGGACAAAAGAAACAAGGTATTAAAAAGAGTGGGAGGCCGAGGGGCAGAAAGGTTAGAGCCAAGCTAACTTCTCTGCTGTAAAAGCACCTTTTACTGCAGACTGTCTATCATACCTGTGCTCCTGTTGGCTCTCTGGAAGCCTGGCAATAACCATGGATTTACTGTCATACACTGGGCCCTTTGCGGAGCGGTCTGGTTTGCCTGTAGACCATCATGGCTGTCATATTTGTTTATAATCTCTGTGGCAGAGTAATGGAGAAGTAATGGACAATCTGGTTATAAGGTATTTGGAACGGTGAACTGCGCAAATGAATGTATTATGCACCTCTGAGTTATTTCTCTTTGACGTAGATCAAAGCGTCAGCAGAGATCTCTGAGTCTCTCCACGGGGGTTTTATATGCGTCCTTTACTGAGGAAGAGTGTTTGTGAGTTCCATGGAAAAAAAAGAGTCTAGGATAGGTGTGCGAGAGATATTATGATAAACTAAGTGAGAAAGTAGACTGTATGATCTGTCGCCAAAAACTACAGCCATTTCACCATTTCAATGTCAACTCAAACTTAAACTGGACTAACAGGCTATATTTAAACTTCCAGTCAAATGTGCATGAACTAACACTGAGTGGGTCTGGATAGGCACCAGGCAGCTTCGAGAGAAATAGCAGCTACTACACTGCATCACTGTGAAGTGACGGCTGCCGCTGTGACTCGCTGCAGAGCAACAGGCATAAATATTGGGTATTTTCTCTACTCTGCAAGACAACAATAAATCTTGCGGCCTGTTGGACCAGCCACACTGTTGCCTTAGAGGGCAGTGACTCTGGGCTGTGGCAGCAACTCAGCCTGGAGAAAACCCCTGGATGGAAGTTTTAGGATATCATAGCATTAGAGTGCGGAGATAAACAGCATTTCTCTGTTGTTGTCTTTCATTTTTAACTCTCTGAATGTAAAAATAATCAATAAAGTTTGTGATGAGTTTAAAAACTGAACTCTTTGCCATCTCTCTTCCAGTCTGTTCCCATATTATCTCCCAACACTAGCTGGTTCCCCTTCAGGCCGCAGTGTATCCACTGGCCAGGAACAACAGGGGGCAGGGTTGATTTAAACATTCCTTCAGTGATCTGCAGCTTTCAGAACTAAGCCCTGTTTGACAGACTGCGGATCCTCATAGAGGACCATGATACACTGCCTGCTCTACGCTGTCCTCATAAACAGACAGGCAATTAGATGGTGGGGTATACATTTTCTCGGCCTGCTTCCCTTTAATTGGACATGTTTAGACTAACATCACTGGAGGAAAAAGTATTTACACGGTGTTGTGCATTAAGTACGATTGTGTTATTATGTATGTCTGGGGGGATTTGCTGGAGATGAAGTCAATCTTTAAGCAAGGATCCCAACGCGCTGGCTTAACAACCACATAACCTGACAAAGTCATTTATCGTTTTGATTAGAAAGTAAAACACACTCAAGAAAACTCATATTTTTCCTAGAATAGTGTCTACAGTATTTGATATATCCTAGAGGGACAAATTAGGCCACACAGTCTCACATTGGAGGGACCCGATTCTAAAAAATATTGTGAAGAGACAAATTTGGCCGGCTGGAGTATGATGTCTTTATAACTACATGGCTCTACTATTTGTTCCAGATCACAAAGACGTCAAATATTTGGACTTAATGGCCTCGTTATGTCTGTAAATAGATCATTCCATATCTGAACATTTAATCTTGAGAATTGTATTACCTGACACCTTAGTGTATGTATTACCTTAGTGTTTTCGTAGTTTTTCAAAATAAAAGTAAAACCTCCCATTAAGGTTTCACTACCTCTTTTCAAGAAAGTCCTCAGTGTTTATTTGACAGAAGAAGAAAGAAGACAATATTAAAGTCATATAAAAATGTTTGCCACTCAATGGTTACTGCTGAGAATAATTGATGCATCATTGCGTTCAGTATCAGGAAGTTGGATGGACTTTCTTGTTGACATAAATTAATAATAATCTATAGCACTCTACTGTAAAGCTTCCAAATGTCTCTCACTTAAATCTTACAATCGTACAAGATCCGATAGATACTTTGTACATATTCCATATCCATGTGCTAATCTTTATCAGGTATTATCAACCTTTTAAATAGGATGGACTGCAAACTCTCCTCAAGATTCCTTCATTCCCGTTAGAGATATTAAAGCTTTATTATCCTGAAATTTTTAGGACTCTTGTAATTGCTTTCTTTAATTCTGTTTGTCACTTGATTGTTGTTTATCTGACTTTTTATTTCCTGTTTGCTGGTTGTGTGGTTGTCTGACTATCAGTGTTATTTGTTCCCAGTTCTCCTTTGAGAAAAGAGACTTCCTCACTGAGTAAAGTTACCAAGGCAGATAAACTCTACATTACAGCTCTTATTAAATGACCCCAAATGAAAAGCCTCTGCCGGGAGCTCTATATACAAAATATCTTTGCCGGTAGTGGTTCACTGTGCAGTGTTGTGACAGCTCAGCAACGTTTCAGCGGAACAGCCGCAGCAGAGCACGAGGAAAATGTCAGACCAACCACACAACTGCTCTGCGCTAACACATTCATATACAAGTTTCATCAGTCTCGTTTGACATCAACAGACATGCCAAACATACCCAGGCTGCAGTTATTCAGCTCAGTGATTATTATTTTTACCCTCCAATGAAAGCTCTTTCATGAGGTTATTTAGGTATAATAAAGGAAATAAATAAGGATTATTTATTTTATGTGACATTTTAGAGATTTTATTAGATTTATTGCACCTGTGTGTCAAAGTTGAAGCTTAAAAGGCATGAAGTATATATGAAGCATGGCTTTTAAACTTGGATTTTAACACGTCTAGAGGGTCAATCTCAGTATGCTTTACAGCAGCTGCAGGACTGCATGGGTGGCGTGCGTATCACTCCCATGAGTGCTGGGATTACGATCAAGGATGAGCATGTTTAAGTTTAGCTGTTTTGGCTTTGTGGAGGGGTGAGTTAAGGATAGTTTGACCTACAAAGTGGATCTGATGCGGGATGCGGGATGTAAGTCACCTGTTGCCACCGCTTACAGGCCGGCGTGGATCTGGGCTGCCATATATCAGTCACACCAGCAGAAGCCAGCGGGCCGATGTGCTGCCTGCTACCCTACATGGCTGTCTGGCTCTTCATCTGCCCACTACTGTACACAGACCCACAGCCCTGTTATGATCTATTGTTCAGCTGCATATGGCATTACACTGGAACCCACAGGCCAGACAGCGGCAAGGTGTTTCATGGAGGAAAATTCTGACTAACACACTCCTGATTGAAATTCCTGGTTAGCTGCTATTTCTGGGGGGATGACAGATTAGATGTTTGGCTGGTTTCGATCTTATGTTTATTTTGTTTTTTATGTCTTTTTTATTTTGGAGATTCTGTAATGTAAATCGATCCTTGAATGTACACAAATCTCACCTGCTGTTTGGCTTGTTATGTTCCACTGAGTCTTTTTTATGACCGTGCTGGGAGCCGGGGTGTCACAGTGCTGGTTATTTTTCAGACCACAGACCCAGGCTGAATAACTTGATGTTACTTTGTCTGATGGTGTATGAAATAGATTTGTTTTGTGGATACTCATTTAAGTGACGGCACTTTTTTTTTTACTTTATTCAAAATCTCATCTTAGAGTCATAAATATATTTTGTGATGAAGACTATAATAAACTACATTTAGTCAAGCACTGAATTGCCCTTAAATACAGTCCTGCGGTACTTTACTTTCTTTACTTTACTTTAAAATTTCATTATTTACTTACTAAGTACTTTAACTTTTATACTATACTAGTACAAATTGCTTCTGCTAGTGCCTCTGTACTTTTAATGAAGTAACATTTTGATCACAAGACATTTACTTATAATGAAGTATATTTACTCTATTATTATATATATTTAATATAGCAGACTTATCAGATTTATTTGTTTAATGTCTACCTGTAAGCCAGCACCTCTCTAAAATAAGTGCGCATTTTCCTACAGTTCACAGTTCTCTAGCATTAATTTACGTGTATTTTGTCAATTCGAATTAATGAACAGCTATATGAAAGCTAGTTTAGTTCACCTAATCAAAACAGGAAACTTGCAACTCACATATTTTTAGTCATTTCTGTGTAGAGACAAGAAACCTTCATGGGAAATTTGTGATAGCATTCAAACAGAATTTCATCTTGAGACACCACAGAGATAATAACTCCTCAAAATCTTCATACCGTATGTACACATACAGTATGAGCACATACAGTACAGTATGTGGCTCTATCTTTTGAGGTCTCCAGTGCTGCACTTTGTTTGAATATATTGTCTCTTTTGAGAGTTATGAGCAGAGAGGAGGTACAGAGACAGACAGAGTGCGATGAAAAGAGTGAGAGCGAGTAGGGTGATAACTACCTGCCAGGGAGGACAGGGATCCTTTAAACCCACTGGCCCTCTCACCCCATCTCACCCCATTGCCCCAACACTACCAAGATATCATCTCTTTCTCAGAGACCTCATCGCTAAGTCCACTGCTGTAGTTTTTTTAGTCAGATGCTTAAAGCATTTTCCCAAATGTCTTCTAGTCTTTTACCTGAGTTTTATGTTACTTCTGATGTTCATTTCGTCACTTACCTGCTGTAGGATAGCGGTCTGGAAGGCTGTTTCTGATCAAGCAGAGGCTCCTTATCTGTCCCCTGGTGAGACAAGTCTTCCTTCAACTCAGTGGCCAAATAGCAGGTGATGGTGCAGACATGAGCAGGCTTGGCGCAGCGGTGGGACTACCTTCTTCTTCTTGTGAATATCAACAGGAGCTGGCTCTTGAGGACGGCGTCTGAGCTTCGTGTCGTCTCACCACCAAACTGTTAGTCCACACAGGGGGGCATGAGAAGAAAAGCAGGGGCATCATGAGAGAGTGTTTCCCCCCATGGCCCTCCCTTCTGTCTCTCCTCCTCCATCTCCCCCTCCTCCTCTTCCTCCCCCCCTCTGCTCCCCCTTTCTTCTTACATCCCTGGTACTCTATTTTTTGCTGGGAAGCATTCTTCGGCAACAGGAGGGGAAGTGGAATTGTTTTCTGGGATCAATGGCAATTCCACTCAACTTCCAGAGTGCTCTTGTTTACTATGTGGTCCCTTAGGTTTACAGCTCTGCTGTCTGTGCTGTGTTCAGTCCCAGGCACAGTGAAAGTCCTATAATGCAAGATTAAAAAACAACAACAAAGTATTCACAGTAATTTAGCTTTTTCTGTGAAGGTAGTAGTAAGTTAGAAGTAAGAAGTAAAAACAAAAATCACAAAAATGTGATTTTAGCTTTATTTTGGTGATCCACAGTTCACCTAAATGTGGGTTTAAAGAAGTTAAAAACAAACCAGTGGACACAGAAGAAACAGTCACGAAGTCAGGTCTTACCTTACAGGCTTTGGTGAAAATACTGTATCTACTTTGTTCATTTGTGTGTCTCTGTCTCTCTGGCCTCACTCCTCCGCTCAGAGCTCGTGCTGGTCTGAAACCACTTGCTGAACTTTGGGATGTGAACAAAGAGTCATAGACAAAACTCAAAGAACTCATCCTCTTTCTTTCGTTCCACCTCTTTTTCTTGTTTGTCATACAATGTGCAAGCTCTAGCCTATGTCGCTCTGCTCTGCAGCCTGCCTGGGGATACATGCTGCATTATATAATGGGAATCTTTTAGGTTTGATTCCTCCTTGCTGAAGGGGCAACGTGCATTCAAATAGCTGTAATTATACAGTGAGGGCATACAGTTCGTATAAGCACTCACTCATGGACAGACAATTCTAATGTCCTTTCACCAACAGATGTGACTTTAATCCTACATTTGCATTATTCTTTGACATGTTAACATGACATCTATCATCTCCTCTTTCTTCCTGTTCTCTTCCTTTGGGAAATACACTACCGCAGAATCTGGTTAGTTTAACTCCAGGAAGACTCCAGAAAGTATCAGCACCCAGCCAAGAAATAGTTTGGCAAATGACCCTGTAAAACTACAACACTGTCGTATTATGACAAATGAGATATAACATGTTAATTACTGAGCTTCAGAGGTGTTGGTATCGTTGGAATTTAAAAAACTGTCCTCCCAGGAAAATTAGAGCAACAGTCGTGTAGGAAAATGCCTAAAAACAGGACTTTAACATGGGAGATTGCTGCTAGTTTCCCAGTTCCTTCCAACAATCAACAGTGGTTCTTTTCATCATGATTTGTCCATTATCCTAATCAAGTGCCAAAGGCCCTGAACCTCAGCAAAGTAGTACTTAGTGTTAACCAAAAACAAAATGTTTCCCTATTACAAAAATAGCTATTTAAGTAGTATAAGTTCAAGTCATTTTTTAAACCCAAAACCAAGTTGTTTTTGTGTCTAACCCATACCAAACCTTTAGTATGCACTATGGATGTATTTTGTTGTTTAGTTTGAAGACTTGCTGGGATTTTGCTACCTTTGAACAGAGTTCAGTCTTTGTGCTAAGCTAAGCTAAGCTAAGCTAACTGGCTTCTGGTGGTAGCTGCATTTTTAAATGTACACATGTGATTCATACTCATTTAACTCTCAGCAAGAAAATGAATAAGGGTAGGTGCGTAACATTCGGAAGGATCAATTGGTAGAAATAGAATATAATATTTAAGGTATGTTTTCATTAGTGTATAATCAACTGAAAATAAGAATCGTTTTGTTTTCCTTAGAGTAGCCCAGAATGGATAAAACCAAACACTGACTCTTAATAGAGCCTTTCCTATATGTTTAGAAGGTATGGCCAATTTTTTTTTGCAGGATGGCAAAGTCATGACCATCCAACTCTGCCTCTGATCGGCTAGTACTCCTTGCTTTCAATGATTTGGTTGGTTAAATTTAGGCCAGAGGAGTGAGATTAGTTAGGATAAGATTGTCAGGGTTAGTCAGTCAGAGGCAGAGAGGGGCAGGTCATGACTTCGCCATCCTGGGAGAAAAAAAACATGGTAAACAGGAGGGTGAGGCGAGGACTTTGTATTCTGCAACTATACTGCAATAGATTCCACTTAATCTCACACCGGTTCTTTAAAGTAAATTGGCACTTTATTTGAATATTTGAATACTTCTACTCAGTTTTCACCTCTCTGCAAATGTCACAGTCCATTCAGTGCTCTGAATGGCCAAATTTTCTTCTCCAACAAGTGCGCCTTTCACCACGGAGCAGAAAAAATGCTATTGCATGTATAAATAGCAGGAGAAACCAAGTGATTAGGATCTCATGACAATCCTTGCCAAACCTCTGGCCAGTAGCTGTGGCCCTGTCTGTTGTACTTGTACTTGTACTCAGTGGTATTCATTTTAATATTTCATAACGGTCAGGGGTTACCTCAACTTGGAAAAACAGTAAGGCTGAAGCACCTTTTTCCTTAAGTATCTTAAAGGTTGCCGGTCGTCGGAAAGAATTGGCTGTGATTTCCGAGTTTTCTTAAACAAAAGCCCACGGAGCACCTAACATTGCTTCAGGCCTCAGTCAGTTAAACTCCACTGTTCAATGGAGCGTTTGAAGGGATGGAAAAGCTGTTGCTAATTCCTAATTACGCAGCTTTCCTTAGTTTAAAATCTACTCTGACGTTTCCATTGTGCTGCTCATCAGGGCGGATTTAGAAGTGGAACAGCATTCACACAGCATAACAGCATGGAGTGATTTGTAACAAAGAAGTGATGTTCCACGACTTCACTTAATCTCATCACTTACAGCTTCTCAGCAGTGCCAGGATGAGGTCTGAATGCTAGTGTGTTACAGAGAGATCAAGAGCAAGAAAAGGGAGACAACAACTGCATGTGTTTATGTGTGCCCCTGTGTGTGAACATAGTGTATGTGTACTTGAATGTTTGATGGAAACAGCCCACACTGCCAGGATGCATTAGTGTAACCCACCCCACCCACCCACTAGCCTGACCCCAGCCTGCTATTCTGCTTGTGACACAAACCTATTTCAGCCCTGCCTCACCCGCGTCCGAGGGAAGCCAGGCTTGATGGACACGGGCTCCTGAATGGCCATCCGAACCTCATATACACCCTCATACACTCATCTCTGTAACCCACTAGTGGCTGCCTGGGATAAGGTTATTTATTTTCCTTTGTACATTATTCCTCTTTTCCCTTTTTAATAAATATTAATTTGTTGTATTAATGAAATGCTGATATATGCTTGCGTGGAAAACAAAGAAAAACAATAAATTGGGGGAAAAAACAAATCAGTTTTCTTTGTCAGTAGAGACTTCAGTTTCCTTGTTGTTGTTTTAACTTTACGTTTATTAAAATCAGTTATTGTATCTAAATGCTTTATGAACTGTTACTAAATCATTTATTAATGATTCATAAATCAATACTAAGCCATCTATAAGGGCAACTGCAACTCTTATTGCGCTCTAAATCAACATTTCTAATGGACAGTTGGATCATGTGCAAAGCCGCAGTGCATCTGGAGCAAAAATCATTTCTTCACATCGTATTAACATGTATAACTGTGGGCTGTGGATAGATTATTATTAGAAAGTGAGTGAACTAGAAAGTCCAAGTTCAAGTTCAAGCCTATTATTTGTCCCAGGGGGGCAATTGGTGCTGCAGCAGTAAAAACCACACAAAGGGAGGCACACAACATAAAAATATCCAACATACATAACCGCACATAACATGGAGAGGGTTAACTGTCCATTAGAGGGGCCTTCCTAAAAATGTGTCAATCTATCTCTTGGCCCTGAACCTATTTATTGTTACTAAGAAAAAATCTTATTAAGAATTGGTCACAAATTTAAACTTAGGAATAAACTATATGAGGCTTTGACCAGAGAAGCAATACTTGTTAGTAAGATTAATTCATTGTCAACATTAAATCCAATGCTGCTCTTACAAATTGCTTTTATTTATTTATCTATTCATAATGCATTACTAAATTATGTATTAACAATAAATAAATCATTTTATTACTACATATAAACTCCAGTAGTATTGAACTGGGTCACAGTTCACTCAGTTTAGCGCAAGACATATCCAAGTAACACAAACTGTGTTTATTTGGTCTCAGTGTGAAATAATGTACAACACCATCAATCCTCACTCTCAACTCATCAGCATCTTTACCATTAAAACCAGGTTATTATTAAACCAGTGCAGAGAAGAGAGCACATGGTTACGGGCAGTAAGTGTTTATCCATGCTGTTTGCTCATTATAGGCTGGCAAATCTTTGAGCCAACAGGTGAGGGATTGCGAGAAGCTGACATGGTGGACGGTCAATCGTTCATCGGGTATTTTAGACTCCTGTCACTTAGGACTCCATCTGTTTCCAACACTGTTTGAGTGTACATATTTAGACTGATGCTATTCTTACCAGCTTGTCTCTGACCGTGATGAAATGCTGTCTGGAAGCATTGATGATGGATAGCTTATGAATGCATATATGGGTCACACAGGCATTATCATGTGTGTCAAGGATGGCTGTTTTGGTTCTTGTTTATCTCTGTTTTTCCATCAGCCCCATGCGTCTGTGTGTGACTTCTTGTCTGGACACAATTTCTTTAGAAGAGGACATTTTCTTGAGTCACTCTAAATACATTATTGCTATACCATCTGACTGAGTGTAGAAGGACCACAATCAGCAAACAACAAATGTATTTATTTATTTATTTTATTTGTTTTTGTTTCACTTTTGTGATAAATCCATTTAAATGTTTATCTCTGACATTACAGAGTCATCAGCCAACAAAGAGACTTCAGTAGTTACATCATTATCTGTCTTTAATTGGCTATCATTACCTAACCATAGCCACCAAAAGCTATGGTCATACTAGACCAAGTAAGACTGTTGCAGCATAATCCTTTGCGATTAATTGATAAAGAGTCTTTTCTACTGCTTTAATGTTATTTAGAGTCACTCAAAATCTGCTTGTAGCATGAATTA